TATGTATACACATTGGCATGCATCCACAGAGGCCAGAAGAGGGTGTTGGATCACCTGGAGCTGGAGTTGTAGGCAGTTGTGAGATACCCAACATGCTAGGAAACAAACTCTCGTCCTCTGTAGGAACAAGTGCTCTTAACCGTTGAGCCATATTTCCAGCCCTGCATCTTGTTTTTGAAACAGGGTCTCTTACTGGAACCTGGGGTATTCTGATTTAGTGTAGAATGTCTGACCAGCAACCCTCAGGGGTCTTTGCCTGCCCAGTGCTAGGATGACAAGTGTCATCCACCACACCCAGCTTTTTATATGGCTCTGGGATCAAACTTAGGTCCTCATGCTGTGTGGCAAGCACTTTACCAATTTTACTATGTCCCCAGTTCCTAAAATCTATTAATAGAACAGCACAAAGCCCTTTGAGTTTATAAATCCTAACTTACTGTTAGACAAGTGACTTCTTTATTTCTAAAAATATTTTTACTTAATATAATACTGATGTTGTGATGAGATACATTATGAGCAATCTTAGCAAAGAAGTTGATGTACTTGTATCTGGGAGAGGTAGGCACAAGGCAGACATGGAGTTAGAGACCCACCAGCTTCCTGACTGTGTGAATTAAACAGGCCCTGCCTTTGTACTTTTTTTTTTTTTTTAACCAATTTTGAATAATTCCCAAGAACTACCATTTTATTTAAAAATCCTTCATTCTCTTTTCATTTTCCTCATCCACAGTAACAAGTGCTTTGTTTTAGAGGCTGTTTTTCTAAGTAGCCAAGATTTTAGTGTATTCTTTAAATTTTTAATCTGGGACTGGTAAGCTCGCTCAGTGATAAAGGCACCTGGCCTGCCTCCACAGCTGGTGACCTGAGTTTGCTCCCTGGGATCCAGGTGAAAGAAGAGAACCAGTTCCTACATGTTATCCTCTGACCTGCACACACATCCCACCCTCATATACCACACAAAATAAATAAGTAAATTTAAATAAAAAAAAATTTTGGAATCTATGTACATCAAAGATTAGGGAGATTTGTTTTTCGAGTTCATTTGCTGATTCTAGTTAAATCCTATCACACACCAGTTCTGCAGTGCTGTAGTGAGTCCCACAGCTGTTAAATGTATCAGGTATAGTCTGTATGATTTACCCAGTTTCAGAAGAGGAGGGCTGGAATCTTAATGGTAAAAGTCAGATTCTGCTATTACTACTGTTAGTCCTGTTACCTAATGTTGAGCATCTATTTTATGCTAAGCTGATTTAGTTTTAATTCTTGCATCAACTTTGTCTTGTAGTTATTATTTTCTGTTTTATGGATGAGGAAACAGGTACAGCAAGATGATATAGCTATTTGCTGGAGATGGAAGATAAGAAATGCAATGGGGTCAGAGTTTAAATCTGGTGGTGAGGCCCCTGAGTCTCTGCACCTTACTACATATAGCACACTGTGGCTCATGATCATTTTTACCTGTAGCTGCTGTTGATGCAGCATTTATATGACTGAATTGTGGGCTTTATTATTATAAGACAGCTACCTTAACATTTATATTTATTTTGACACGTTATTAAAATTAACCAAAGTCTTACCATTCTATTATCATGTGCTCTCAATCTGGAATGGTTCTGTTAAATAGGTTTTATACATTTGGAGGAAGGGTATGTAAATGAAACACTGGGTATGTGAGTTTGAGGACTCATTGTTCTGGAAGCAGATCCAGGAGACGATAGAGAGGCAATTTTGGCAATTGCTTATGTGGTCATTTGTAAGTCCTATGATTCTCCTGATCTATAGGCTAGTACCATTTGGGAAGTGTTTGTCATTCCAAGGCACAGGTGAGGCAGAGAAACTTTATTTGACCTGAAATAGGGAACAGGTTTCTTGTGAAGTGAGATGACTTCACTTTGTAGAGAAGTGAAATTGAATTCTTTGCTTGTATCACACATCTTTTTATTTATTTTCAGTTTATGTATATGAGTGCTTGCTTGCATGTATGTATGTGCATCCTGTATGTGCCTGGTGTCCATGGAGGCCAGAGGAGGGCTATAGATTCTTCAGAACTGGAAGTACAGGTGGTTGTGAGCTGCATGTGGGTCCTGGGAACCAAACCTGGATCCTGTGCAAGAGCAGGACGTGCCTTTAACCACCGGGGCATTTCTCCAACCTTGAACTACAATTTTTTTTTAATTAATGTGGAAATAATTTGATTTAGAAAGACTGGTATTCTCATTTAATTACTAATTTATTGTTTTATGACATTGCAAAAATACATTGGGTTATAAAAACACAGGCAAACAAACTTTTAGAAAGGATAAGTTGTGTACTGTATAGAGAACTGAATTGAGGAGGGTGGATTGGAAGTCTCTTACATTGGCAAGTGAGACTTGATGATGACTTGACTAGGATTATAACAAGGCAGAGATGGATAGGGGTCTGTTACAAAATATGTTTTTGGAGATCAGAGAGTCGTGATTTGGTAGTGAATTGTATATGAAGGCTAAGAGACAAGAAGTTAAGGATGACTCACAGATTTCTACTTGAGAAACTGAGTAAATAATAATTCTGTTTCTTGACACATGGAAGACTAGTTGAGGAAGCTGAGAGGTAGAAGTTAGGAGCCTTGTGTTGGATATGTTGGATTTGAGATGCTGTGAAACATTTAAGTGGAAATATAAAATATTCTCGAGATTAAAAGAAAAAAAGTATGTTAGATACATGAATTTCAAGAATGGTCAGCATGTAACATACTATTTTGGACTATGGTAATGGATGAACTGTGTACCAAAGTGTTCCAATATTTAGGAGTCTTATATACAAGGAAGACCTGATTAAGGGAGGGCATCTAGTGAAATGTGGGAAAATAAGAGTTTGGAAGAACAGAAATCAAGAGAAACGAAAAACACGTTTGCAGAGATTGTCAGCTCAGAAGACTTAGGGTTTTTTTTTTTAGGTCTTTTTAATTTTATTTATTATTTTAAAAATTTTATGTGTATGACTGTATTGCCTGTATGTATGTAAGTTTACTTGTATTGTGCTGTGGCCAGGGAGGTCAGAAGAGGGTGTTGAATTTCCCTGGAGCTGGAGTTATGAATGGTTGTTAGCCACCACGTAGGTGCTGAAAATCAAAGCCAGGTCCTCTGTAAGAGCAGCCAGTGCTCTTAAACCACTGAGCCATCTCTCCAGTCCCCCATTTTTGTCTTTTTGAGGCAGTCTCCCTGTAGATGCAGCTGGTCTGGAATTCCCTATGTAGACAAGGCTGGCTTCTATCTCACAGAGATCTGCCTGCCTCTACTTCCCAAGTCCTGGGATTAATGGCGCACATCACTGTGCCTAGCAGAAGACTTACTTTTTAAGGTACTTTGTTTTGAGGAACTTATTGAAGGGCATATAAATTCAGTAACTTTGTAACTAAGAAAGAGGAAGATACAAAATATAAGAAACAGCAAAGCTCATAAAACACAGCAATTAAAATTTCTCAAAATAATAAGTTATAGCAATGTCACAATATACTGGGTTAACAGTAAAAAGATAGTTGCTTTCCTATATACCAGCAATAAATAAAGTTTAAAATGAAAAAAAGGAAATAGAAAAGCTAGCCTAAGAATTCAGTGAGAAATATCCAAAATAATAGCAATATAACAAACATGTAAATTCAGCCCAAAGGTGTATGAAATAGTAAACACATTAAAAACTAAGTAAAAGTCTTTTGAAAAGAATGCTATCAAGCAGAAGGGACCAGACTACATGGCTGACAGAAGGGACCAGACTCTGCATGGATGGATGGTTCAATCAGAAGTCAGAGAAAAATGTCCTTGGACATGATAAATATCACCAAAAAGATAATGAGAAACTATAAAAAACAAAAGCTAAAAAAGTTATGTTCCAAGTTTGAAGCTGAATCTCATGTGAGCATGATAGAAGATGAGCATAAGAGCATCAGTCTATTAAAGAATAATGGATGACATACATAACGTATTATATAAATTACACAGCTAATCAGTGGAAGAACGAATGGGCAATAATAATAATAATAATAATTGGAGAGGAGTTAGTAAGGTAGGTATTTCAAAACAATGAGTCCATTGGAAATGTTGCATTGAAATGATGATGGAAACAAGCTAAGGCATCAACAATGGAAGGGGTTGTATGTGGTTGCTAGTTGAGGGTATATCAAAGAGAAGAGAGTGTGTGAGAGGAAGACATTTTCTTCTCAGTCTTTCTGGACTTCGTGATTATTTTTGTAACTGATTTGATGCACAAGTAAGGATAGAGTTTGTATATACACTCTGTTGTCATTTGATAGAGATGGTATGAGATCAGCAGCTTTGTTTTCCCTTTTTCTTTCTTCTTTTCTTTTTAATTTTAAACTGAGGGCTTCTAGAGAAACCCGGTGTGATGGTGGTGTTAAAGTTTGGGCCTATGGTTCACAGCATTAGCTTTGTGTAGGAATTTGCAGAAATGCACATTTTTGGGCCCCATCCCTGTTTACTGATTCAGAAATTTTGTGAGTGGGACCTACCTTGTGTTTTAATAAGCCTCCAGGAGAATTCAGTAGAAAATTCTTTAATAATAATTACCACAAGTGGTTGGGGATTTAACTCAGTGGTAGAGCACTTGCCTAGGAAGCTCAAGGCCCTGGGTTTGACTCCCAGCTCAGACCACCACCACCACCACCACCACAATAGAAAACAATTGCTATGCTTTCTTCTCAATATTAAGCTTAAAATCCATTTCTTTCTTTGCTTAGGTCAGATGCTGAAACGAAAAGGGTTTTGGAAGAATTGACTGAAAAGCTTGAAGCCCAGAAACAAGATGGGGTGAGGATTCTTTCTTTATGAGAAGTTGTATTTCATAAACTGTCTGTATGGTTGTGCATACTTGTATTCCTGGCACTTAGGAGGCTGAAGCAGGAGAATTGTGAATTTGAAGCCAGCTTGGACCACATAGCTGGTTCTAGACTAGTCTGGATACACAGCAAGATACTTTTGCCACCAAACCAAACCACACCACACCACACCACACCACACCAAACCAAAGCCCTCAAACAAAAGTTTATTTCCACATACAGATAGATGAGAGGATGGTGGCTAGACTGGTTATAATCTAGTGAATTTTTGCAGTGTTTAACTTTTTGGGTTAAAATATGCCATTTTGCTAAAAAAATATGTTCTTGTACGTCATAAAATGTTCTTGTATTCTATGAATTTAAGTTTGAAATATTATAGTAGTAGCAGATTACAGGTAGAATTGAAAATTTTTTTCTTTTCTTTCTTTCTTTCTTTCTCTCTTTTTTTAAAGAAGCTTTATGACAATTTTTATTAGAGTTTGAAAGAAAAATCCTCAGGGCCAGCAAGCCATAAATCTCAGCAGCTTTCCTGAGGAGGCACGTCGAGGGGGAAGTGAAAAAAGCCGTACTCATTTAGAGCAGGTGTGCAGAATTCACTTTTAATTAAAAAGAGTTTAGAATTATGAATATTTGAAAGACACTTTATAGTTATTGGCCAGTGACTCCTCTGCAGCTCTTGTTAAATAATATTAGAGAAATGCAGATGCTTTGTGTAATGGGTGTGTGCACTTGCCGTTCGGTGTTTTCAGATCACCTCACAGGGGTGTGGAGTCACGATGGCTATGAGGCCTCTTGTTCCCTGTGGTCCTTAGTATTCATTTTCAACTTGACAGGGTTTAGAAGCTCCTAGGAGATTAGTGATGAACACCTTTAAAGAATGTGTTTGGGTTGTTCCAGGGAAGATTAACTGAAGGAGGGACCTACCTTGAATGTGGGTGACACCTTATCATAGACTTGAGAATGAAAGAGGAGAAAGGAGAGAGCCGACCAAGTTCCAGCATTTTCTTATCTTTGCTTCTTCACTGCCATGATGTGAGCTGCTCTGCTCTGCTACACCCTCCCTGTTATGATAACTGATAAGTCATTCTTCCCATAAATTAGTCTGTCAGGTCTTTTGGTAACTGACAAGAAAAGTAATGAATATACTGGTTTTGTTTAATATGGTGAGACTGAAAATTTTTTATTTTCAAGTATTTTAACTTTTATTATTGAAGTATCTTTTTATCAAATCTTTATCCTTGAGTCTAGTCTGGGCTACACAGTGAAAACCTGTTTTACAACATCAAACAAACTAATGAACAAAATCACTATCTCAAACTCAAGATAAAAAAGTACATATAGTATCCATTTTTCTTCATCTTTTTTTAAGAAAAATATTAATAGAAATTTTCACTGAATTATTAACCAATTCTTCAACTTAAGGAGCAATTTATTCACTTCCCACATCTTTGTTTTTCCAAGATAAAGAAAGTTAATGTATTTTTATTTCCCCTAGGATATTTTATTCAAATTTAGTTTCTTAGTTTAAGCAGGTGATTTTTTTTTTCAATTGTTAATTGTGTTTACAGTTCCTTATACACAGGTTGAGTTCATGTCAAAGTTTGAACATAGTGACTGTGTGTTCCAGGAGCTGGCTATCCTCTGTCTTTAAGGAGGTGACTTAGCTGCTGCTTTTGCAGTGGCATGCACTCATTTCACAGAAGGGATTGCATCAACCCACTCTGTTTTCTGTCTGGTACTGATGTCTTTGTGAAGAGCCATAGGAAAATGAAAACTTAATAGCTGACTTCTGTTGAAGTAAATGATGTTTTACAGTTATACTGGGGGGATATGGGAAACTTGTTTTTTTCACATAAAAGTCCTGGATTTTTTCCAGGTGTATAAAATGCTCCATCAGTTTAAATTGTATCAATTTGAAAATACATAAAGCATCAAGTAATTCAATGTAGGGATACAACTTGTGACTATGTTTACAAAAAGGGGTGTGTGTGTGTGGGAGAGACCAGAGGAGTGTTCTCCTCTATTAATTTGTGCTTTATTCCCCTGAGATGGTTTCTGATGCTTGCCATGTTTTTGAGTAGTCCGATAGCCAGCACCCCGCCCCTTCGTCTCTTGGGACTGCACTTGGCTTTTTATGTGGGTGTTGGGAATTGGAACTCCAGTTTTTTTGCTTGCTTAGTCCTCCTACCCACTGATCCAGCTTCCCAGCCTCTATAAAAAGGTTTAATCCACATTCAGATATGTTCAGTATTCTGTTGAAGTTCTCATAGACCTAAGTAAACTAAACTGTTACCACTTGCACTGTCAAGTGTTGTTTTTAAAATAGATAGTTGTGTGGGATTGCATTTGGGATTTGCTAATACTAGCTTTTGTAGTACAAACTAATTTTATTAAATTTTACCTTTTTCCACTTGATTAGATACTCAAAGTGAACATTTGCTATTTCATTTGAATTATGTCTGCATAGCAATAAACTGGAAAATGTTATCTCTGATATATTCTAGGGTTTTCTGTTTTTCACAGGGTAAGGACTGAATTACTCAATAGTGAGGGGAAGTCCCTGTAAGTCTGCACTCTTGTCCCGTCATTGCCATGTAGCGGGAATGACAGCTCATCAGAGACAGCTGCGGTCTCAAAGCAGACACCACACTCAGTGCTGCTCATTGACTGCTGCTGTCTGCAGCTCACCAGTGACCAAACCTGCCCCTTCAGCAGGGCAAGCCCTTTATGGTCATCCTGAAAATTTGAGGTAGTTAACTGCCCTTCATTGAATTTTACACCTCCCGATTCTTCTCACGCTTTATCACAGGTTGTATGTTTTCTACAATTTGTTGGTAAAGTAAGGTTTTCCCATAAGATTTGAGATTTGAGTAAAAGGCATTTCAAATCTATTTTTTCTTTCTTTCTTTCTTTCTTTCTTTCTTTCTTTCTTTCTTTCCTCTTTCTTTCTTTCTTTCTTTCTTTCTTTCTTTCTTTCTTTCTTTCTTTCTTTCTTCTTTTTCTTTCTCTTTCCTTCCTTCCTTCCTTCCTTCTTTCTTTCTTTCTTTCTTTTCTTTTTTTTTCTTTTTTTAGTCTTTGAGACAGGGTCTCCCTGTCACCCCAGCTGACTCGGACTTGCTATGGAGAACAGGCTGGCCTTGATCTCACAGAGATCACCTGCCCCTGCCTCCCTAGTGCTGGAATTAAAGGTATGGCCACTTTGCTCGGCTGCATTTCAAATCCTACTTGATGTGTAGTCCTGATTACAAACACTAATCTTGCACGACAGGGCTGCACTTACCTACATGCAGGTAATATACACATACACATAAAATAGAAATAATAAATAAAATAAAAAAAAACAATCTAACTCAAAACAATGTTGTTGAATTTTAGTAGGTCTCCTGAAGGCTACATGATGTTTGTACAAAGATTAATTTAGATTTTGTGACTCATTTATTCCAATTGAAGTCAACATTTACATTTTATAACTGTTTGACATATTGTGCTGTATTTGTGAATTCATGATAACATGCTGTCATAGAAGATACAGTTTTGTTATGTGAGTGTAAAATTTCTCAGAGGCTGCAGCTGTCTCTCCCTCCAGACTTAAGTTTAAATAGAATTACCAAGTAGGTTCACTGTGGAGAATTTAAATACTGAGTAAATATATAAAGTGGAAATAAATGACTGCCTCAGACTCCTACCAGTCTCACTTTCTGTTGGTAGTCATAGTTAATCACATTTATTGCATATTATTCTGAGGCTCCAATTGTTCATCATGCATTTTCTCAGTAAATAGAATATATCTTGGAAGTTTATGCAACACATTTTTCTTTGAGAGACAAAAAGTATTGGTTTCTGTCACATATGCCAAAATCTGAATTAATCCTTTGTGAATTGTAAGGTGTTTGGTTTGATTCCAACTGCCCACTGGAAAGGAGGCTATATACTTAATTGTGATAATCAGAGTTGCATAGCCTTCCTATCTTAGGGGAAATTTCAGTTCATTAGTTGTCTATATTTTACGTTGTTATGTGGGATTTGAGTACATATTTTGATTATTTATGCAGAAAAATTTCAATTCACTTTAGTTTTCTGTAAGGAGATCCTTATTAAAATTGAAAATGTAAACGTAGATCTTGCCGTTTCTGAGGTGGTGATCATTAATGAAATTCCAAGAATTCTGTCAACACTGTGTTTAGTATAACATGAGTATTGCATAGCCTCAAACAGCAGCAGGACAGATAACACGTACTTATTTAAATGGTGTTCTAGTTTCTCTTGGCTATGACAGACATCATGACCAAAAGCAATTTAGGGAAGGAAAGGATTATTCAGCTTCCTCTTCCAGGTCATAGTCTATCACCGAGGGAAGTCAGGACAGGAACTCAAGCAAGGAGTTGAAACAAACCATACAGGATTCTGAGGTCATTTTCAGGTTCATACCTAGCTTTCTCATGCATCCCAAGGCCACCTACCCAGCGAACATTGCTGCCTGCTCACAGTGGTCTGGGTCCTCCTATATCAATTAACAATCAAGACAGTCCCCTACAGACATTCTCACAGGCTAGTGAGATCTGGGAAGTCCCTCAAATGAGACTCCCTTCTCAGGTGACTCTAGGTTATGTTTTAATTTGACAGTGAAGCTAACTAGGACAGATGGACTTTATACCATCAAAATTTGTTAAGTTTGAGCCATCAGTATATTAAAAACTCAGAACTGGGAGTGTGGTGGCGCACACCTTTAGTCCCAGCACTCAGGAGGCAGAGGCAGCAGGATCTCTGTGAGATCAAGGCCAGCCTGGTCTACATAGTGAATGCCAGGCCAGTGGAGGCTATAGGAAGACTGTGTCTCAACCCTACTCCAAAAAAAGCCCCACCCCCCAAAACTACAGACCCACAAAACCCAAACAAACAAGAAAATTCAGAATGCAATCCCACGAGCAGAATTCTTTTGCTTTAGTTTTTGTTTTTGTTTCATCGACCTTT